TGCTTGTGGGTGTAGAAAGGCAGGACTAAAGTGTTCAGTTATGTGCATAAACTGCAGTAACATGTGTGATAATGCCCCAACTATTTTCGAAGATAGCGATGACGATGAAGACCTTGATACCAGATCAGAATTACTGAGTGGCGAAACCGAATTGCAAAATGTATATTCTCATAATAATAAATATAATTCAGAACCTTCTCCATCAGAAGTACCGAAACGGAGGAAATTGAAGTAGGTTTTAAAAGCTGTGTAATTAAAAAAGAAGTTAATTTTTAGTTCCTTGACAAAAAAAAATTTAAAAAAAAACAAAAAATACAAAAAAAATATTAAAAACTGTAAAATAAAAAAAAATAATAAAAAAATAAAAACTTACCAAAAAAAAAATAAAAAATTACAAAAAAAAATGGAGTCGACAACCGCCACGTCCTCGTTCGTGACTCTGGGGGAAGCTGAGAGCGGCAAACTCATTTCATAACGTAAAATTAACATTTCGTGTTTGTATTTTATGTTCTTTTAATAATTATTCGACTTCTGTCGAGACACATTATATACTTTGCACTTTTTATAACAAACGCCATAACTAATTGTATACATTTTTATTTACATTTATTAATATGCAAACGATGCAGATTTTAATTTCTCTGCTAAAAGTAGTTAATTTTCATACGTAAGAAGGTTAATTAACAAATGTGTCGAATGTGATCATTTGATTGTGTACATTAGAGGATTATAATATATTGGTAGCGAGAAACTTTCATTTTCTATGTAACTTTAACAAGAAATACTTTATATTGCTAGAGCGGTGTCGTGTGTATCCATTTTCATGACGACACTGGTAATACCGTATTTACCGCGAAACGGACAACTAAATTATTCATTTCGCCCAAAAATACTTTTTTGTTAACTAAAAATACAGGTTTTAAGCATTAAGATGCATATCTGACCATTCCGTTACATGGTTTATAAACTGAGTTCTTCGTAATTACAGGTATGTTAGAATGCAGAGAAAATAAAATAAACTCCTCGAAAAACCACTAAGTTTGAACCGTCGTATGTCGAACAATAAATTTTTTAAAATTCTTTCACTTCATGCATCGTAAAGTGCAATATTTGAACATCAAAATTGTATAATACCAAAGTGATTGGGCTAAAAATAAATAAATGAACTCTGATTTGATTAAATCATAGGAAAAACGCATGTCTTTTGCATTCATAGTACAATTATATATACATAAAGCAGCATTTTATATAAAAATATGTATCTATATGTTACTTCTATGTATCTACTTTAAAACCCATTTTGAATTTTTTAAATTCATCGTACCAGTTAAAAGTTATAAGAAAATCTTTTCACGCGGCGACTCTAATGTTCGTGAACAGCGCAGTGCCGATGCAGGCGTGGCGCGGCATAAACACTACACATTCATCGCGCTCGTACGCGAAAACGGCTACAATTAGCGAAAAAATGATAAGGACAAAAATTGTTGCAAATTTCACGTAGATTATTTTATTACTATACTATTTTTGCCGTAAAATGCACCAGAGACGAAATATAGCCAAAAAACTCAGTTTTCACGCCATTTTTTCAAAATAGCGGCGTTAGCGCCGCAGTTAGGAGGGGGCAAAGTGAAAATTCGAAAAGAGCACCTCAAAATCTGTAAGAATCACCTAAAAAAAAAACTTCCGCGAAATTTTCGTAAAAGAATACGGTTTTCCTGGACTATCAGTAGGATCATGGCCAAAATGCATATATAATAAGGAGTCCAGTCACCAGCTGCATCTATATGATAGACTAGTACATGCGAGGTATTCTATGTAGAATCATTTCCTATATGATGTCGGTCTAATGGATACATTATTAATGTAATTGCATAATCCTACTGAATACAATCAATATAAATTTAAGGCTAATAAACCATTTTTCTTTGAGATAGGCTTGCCACGCTCTTGTACTAGACAGACTGTATATCTATATTAACGAAAAATTGTTTTTTATTTTTCTTGGATTTCACTGACTTATTGTTAGTTAATGAAAAGGACAACTCTCGGGAGCATACAATCTTTCATTACGTAAAATTTTTTACTTTAAAAGTTTATGTTAAAGAATTTAGTGTGTTTTACATTGTATAGATAAGTATACAATCATGATACATTTTGTCATATTTGATTAACATTAATTCTTAAAATCAAAAATTCTCCACAATAAAAGATTAAATGCTCCTGAAAGATGCGCTTTCTGTTTTTAGATAAAAGTAGAATGAAATATTTGAAAAATATATAAATATATATTTTTTGATTGTGCTTGGTTAATAAATATATAAGCTCACAACTTTCTTTTAAATAAAACAGGAAAATTCTGAAACTAGAAGAAAGTACCTTGTTCTTGAATTGTTTCAGTGTCTGTAGTGTCAACTGTTTGTTTATGTCTGCGTGAACTGGATGTAGATGATGTCTGTAGATGATTTGATATATTACGTTTAACAGAAGATATATTCGATTTATTATTTATTTTTTTGCATTGTTTCGGTTTCATTAATTTTTCTGCAACCGTTTGAGATTTGATAACTTGTTTCGAGTGGTAACAGCTTTATTCAATGTCTTTCTTTTTACTTCAATATTTTTTTTTGACTTAGTTGATAATGTTTTTAAATTTCCAATTTTCTTTTTCATTCCTTTTTCCGAATTATAACTTGAGCTGGATGTGTTTTCAGAATCTTAAATATGATAAATAATCGTAAAACAAATGTAAAAAAATATCATTCCATACTGTGCTAATTATTAGAGAATCTTTTCATTAATGGTATTTATTTTCCAATTACTTGATTCACAATCAGATGATGACGTATTTTTTTCCTTAGACAGCATTTTTTCAACATTAACCCGAGATTTCACAATTTCTACTGCTTTAAGAGCCTTCTCCATCCCTCGTGATTCAGAGTCTGTCGTATATGGCTGGACTTCAAGAATACTTAACTCACTTATCCCTTCTTTATATGAATCTGTAAACGAATATTTCCTTCATCGTTAAAATACTAAAAAATACAATATGTCTAAAGAACTAACTAAATTCTGTTCAATTAAATTCAAAACTTTCCATCATAACCATAGCTGCATTATCGTGCTACTATTTTTGTGTGATTTTATATACTCTTATAAGTGTTTATTGAATTGCGCGCTGAGTAGATTTTTTGCTATTGAAACACGGCTTTCAGAAGGTAAAATCATACAAAAATATTAGCAAAATGAAGATGCAGTTATGACCGACGGTCATTATTTGTATCTTTACATATACAGTCTACATATATTTTCTTAATAAATTCTTTTCGTTTTTATCTTTTATATATTTTTATTTTTTAATAATATAAAAATTAAAAAATTATTTATTTTAATTAACACATTCTTAAATTCTTTTACAGATATTTTTGATAGATTAGATTAAATATGTAATTGAAAATTAATTAACACTTTACAAAATAGAGATAGAATTAAATATTAAGATTAAAATTTTGAGATTTATCTTTCTTTATATTACATTAATTATATTAAAATAGAAATTGTAATTATTTTATTTTATTAATTAAGACAATATATTTTGCAATTACTTACTCGCATCACCTTTCAAGTCTACGGGAAATTGCGACCAACTTTCAGGTGGTGGCGCTTGAATTTTTATTAGATCCTGAATTAATTTATAATCTTCCGTTGAATATGGTGGAGGCATACATTGTACTACGCAAGAACCAAACTTGTGATTGTATGTAATCCATGAACTTGGTACGCATTCTATCATTTTACAACCATTCTTAGTTTTTTCATTTCGAAATTCTATCATTTTATACAACGTGTCCGAATCTGTACTTTTATTCACTAAATAAAATAACTATAGGTCAGGATTGATTGCTTAAAAGTACGATGTTTTCTACACGTGCAATTAAAACTATCATCGTCCAAATCATATTACAAGTTACTTATTTTATATACTTACTTTTTGAGCAGCTGAATATAACACTTATGACACTTTATGACACTTCTAATTATAAATATTATGTGTCTCATTCGGTAATCGGTGTTTTTCGTACACGTCTTGTTCACTCGATCACTAATGAAGTTAGAGGTTATTGTTTACTGGCATCCCGCGCTTTTAGACGCGCGCGTTCTCTGACTGAACAATTGCCTATCGTGATAATCACGTGCTGATTGGCTTGACTCATGCGTCCCATCCAATTAGAGAATGAGACAGAAAGTTGACGACTCTCTTATTATAAGTTCTCTAGTATCTAAACAATGAATGCCGGATGCTTATAAATGAGGAGCGTAAAACGCTTTATCTCAGGAGCGTTTATATATATATATATATATATATATTATATATATATATGTATGATGAAATCCCACCCTGTCTAACTATAATTATACATATAATAATTACGAATATTCTTAACCATGGAATTTCACAAAAGAGAAGCAGCTCGACGTCGAAAGAGAAAATATCGAGCTATCGAAAAAGAATATAGGACGGATTAGAAGGAAGTGATGGCGGCGCTACTACAAACTCATGGAAATGAAACAAAAGAACCTTTACAAAGTATTTTTTCCTGTTATATAATTAATTGATAACAAAAACTATAAATAGAACTATTTATAACTTATTATTTTTTACTATTTTTTATATTTTTTATTACTGTCTAGAATTTAAACTTATATAAAAATTTACATAAATAGTTCTTAAATAAAATAATGGGATTAAATTTTCAAATGTATAATACAAAAATAAAATATCTTTTTATAGAACAAATTAACAACAATGAATTAGATTCATATTTACATATCACCGAAGACGTTCAGGAATTTGAGAGACAGACAGTAAATTTTCAAGAAATTGTATTAGAAGCTGATATTCATAGTGAATTAAAAAAAATGTCACATTACCAATAAAAGCAGATGATGACAAAATTGAATTACAAGCTGATCTTCATGATGGGGTAAAAGAAAGTGTCGTCATGCTACCATTAAACACAGATGACAACACAAGTGAAATTGAAGCATTAAAATCATGGGCTATCGAAGAAAAGATTAATTCTTCATCTGTAGACAAATTATTAAGAATTTTACGGAAAAGACTTATTCCAGAGCTACCAAAAAGTTCGAAAACTTTTTTAGGAACAACATTAGCAGATTACCAAATCATTGAAATGGAAGATTATTCCACTGATATTACGGGTGAATTTGTTTACATGGGTATATCAGTTGGCCTTCAGTCTTGTATTACTAATTTCCACGAAGGAAATATTGAAATAATTATCAACATTGATGGACTTCCTTTAACACGTTCTTCAGGAAAATGTTTTTGGCCTATTTTATGTAAGGTACATTATATACCTGATGTTTACAAGCCATTCATAGTAGCTATTTATTGTGGTAATAGCAAACCCAAAGACTTATCACAATATCTAAAACAATTTATAGCAGAATTAAATTATTTGCAAGAACATGGAATAAATCTTTTCCAAAAAACGTTTATTGTTAAATTGAAATGTTTTGTTGCGGATACTCCAGCACGATCTTATCTTAAATGCACTAAAGGTCATGGTGGGTATAATGCATGCGAAAGATGCACTATACATGGAATTCGGCATGTTATTAACAAAACTTCAAAGGTAATATATCCAGGTGTCAATTATGCAGCAAGAACGAATAAATCATTTCGAAATAAAAATGATCCTGAGCATCACATGGGAGAAACTCCTTTAGAAAATATAAAACCTGCAATAGATATGACAACTATTTTCATTCTTGATTACATGCATCTAGCCTGTATAGGTGTGATGAAGGAATTGCTTGAAATGTTAATGTACGGTCCTTTAAAAATTAGATTATCTCGTACTCAAAAAGTAATAATTTCGCAAAGGCTTCTTTCTTTAAGATCACAAATACCATCAGAATTTCAAAGAAAAACCAGATAACTTTTTTGTGTTCGTCAGTGGAAAGCTACAGAGTTTAGATTCTTTTTATTGTATTGTGGACCTATTGTTTTGCAAAATATTATTTCCAAAAATTTATATAGGCACTTTTTACTAATACATTTTTCATTCAGAATTTTATGTTCCGATCGACTTGCAGTACAATTTAATGCTAAGGCTAAAGAATGTTTAGAAAAATTTGTTTTACTTGTACCAGAGTTATATGGTAAAGAAGCTCAAGTTTTAAATATACATAATCTTGTTCATATAGCTGATGATGTTTTGAATATGGGATGTTCTTTAAGTAGAATCAACTGTTTTCCATTTGAAAATACTTTAGGCAAAATAAAACGAACCCTTCGAACTTCTGTTAAACCATTAGCTCAAATTTGTCGCAGGGAACATGAAAGAACGATATTGAAAAAACAAATTTCATTGCCAAGTGAATTTAAAATTCATGAATTTAAAATCAATAATACTACCTTACACATTACTAAAGTAACCATTAATTTTTCGATTCTAATTACAACCAGAACTCCTAATAACGTAGTTCTTTTAAACAATGGTTATGTAATGAAAATTGACGCAATGTATGGCTCTGAAGCAATGGCATCGACAATTTTTACTCGTGGAAAAGTATGGCTGTCAAAAAAGAAAGTATATACTTTTCCTGAAAATTCAACTATCGTTGAAATGTGGAAGATTGATTCGAAGTCTACGATAATTTAGTTTTTCCACTTAATCATGTGCAACAAAAATTAATAATTATGGAAATTGCAAAGCCACTAAAACCTAATTAGATGTTTGTTACATCATTTCTTCACCCGTATTAATTAATACTGTAAGAACATAATTTTATTTTCAAATATATTCCAAACTTGTTATAATTTTATTTTAAAGTTATATATTTTTAACCAGTTACATGTATTACATGTGCAGCAGTAATAAAACATATTGATGTCTAGTACTGTTATTGTAGTTATCTTTGTATTTATTACTTTATGTAAATAATTATAAAAAAACTTCATATAGGTTATTATACTAAGAATAATCATACATTAAATTGTTATCAGAGAATAGTCGAGACCGAATTGGTCCCTATATGGGCAGCAACTGGGCAAGCCTAAGTAACTATCTTGTAGAAAAAATGGAATCCAAATCAGGCCCTGCTAGGACCGCGACTAGGAAACTTAAACAAACCTTTATTTTGGATACCTCAGTAATGCCCATAAAAGACCAATATTAAATATAGAACTCCCGGATAAAGTTCTACACAGATAAATTGGCCCTATATGGGCTGCAACTGGGCAAGCCTAAGTATTACCATCTTGGGGCAAAAATGAAATCCAAACCAGGCCCTGCTAGGGCCGTGACTAGGAAACTTAAGTTAATTTATCCTAACTATACCCTAAATGGGCTTGAGTTTGACAAACCTTTATTTTGGATGCTTCAGTAATGCCCATAAAAGGCCAGTATTAAATATAGAATTCCCGAATAAAGTTCTACACGGATAAATTGGCCCTATATGGGCTGCAACTGGGCAAGCCTAAGTATTACCATCTTGGGGCAAAAATGAAATCCAAACCAGGCCCTGCTAGGGCCGTGACTAGGAAACTTAAGTTAATTTATCCTAACTATACCCTAAATGGGCTTGAGTTTGACAAACCTTTATTTTAGATGCCTCAGTAATGCCCATTTGGGACCAGTATTAAATATGGAATGCCTAAATAAATTTCCATACGGGTATGTTCGTCGTCGAGGAAGTATAAGTGTCTACGTATTTGATTTCGAGGAAGAGAGTGTCCAGGTGTTCGCCTTCGAGGAAGTGGGTGTCTAGGTGTTCGCTGTCGACGAAATAGGTGTCTAGGGGTTCGCATTCGAAGAAGTGGGTGTCTACGTGTTCGACGTTGAGGAAGTGAGTGTCTAGGTGTTCGCCTTCAAGGAAGTGAGTGTCTAGGTGTTCGCTGTCGGCGAAATAGGTGTCTAGGTGTTCGCCTTCGAGGAATTAAGTGTCTAGGTGTTCGTCTTCGAGGAAGTGGGTGTCTACGTGTTCGCCTTCGAGGAAGTGAGTGTCTAGGTGTTCACCGTCGAGGAAATGGGTATCTAGGTGTTTGTTTGTTTGTAAGAAACGTCGTCGTCGTTGTCATCGTCATTGTTGCCAGCTACGAAGTGAGGAAATACATTCTGAAATTTTTGGGTGAAGGAATAAATGTGGTCGCGACGGGTGTCTATAAATCTATAATATCGACCGCTGCGATCTGTACGATTGTTAAAGTCGGATTAAGAGTCTCGGCAATAACAAAGGATTGAGGTTAGGAAGTCTGTTACATCGATGACATAGACGAACACGTAAATGAGGTTAGAATAAATAAATATTTTCTGCTTTATTACACAAATTCTCTGCTGTAAAACACATTTTCTGATATAAGAATACAAATTATTTTCTGTAGTATACATAATTTTACAGCAGAGAATTTGTTTTGTTTATTCAGGCAAGGAAATCTGTCGTATCGATGGCACAGAGGAACACGTAAGAGTGAATAAATAAATATTTCCATTGCTGTCATTATTTATTATGTATATATGGGGCATTCCACGCCAAGTGGGCCACTCATTTTGCGAAGTTTCATGGATTTCGTTCATATAGCTTGAACTTGAAGAGTTTGATGAATAAAGGCTCTATGACGAATAATATACCTGTAGGCCAACTGGTTGCTGATCTATAGAGCCGTCAATTTTTGGGCTTTCTCGTCTCAGCGCTCTTTTCGCTTGTCATTAGTGGGCATGAGAGACAAGTTTGAAAATGAAATGTAGAAGTTACCTTATAGAAAATTGAACGCTCTTTCACGTAAGAATACTTTTTTTTCGATCAGACCGGTTTACGACGATGTTTGTCAGTTTTAAAGTTTTCAAAATGGCGGCGCGCCTAAAAGGCCAGTCTCAATTTTCTTTTAATATAGCTCAAAATGTAGCTCCAGGTCTCTACTTTGTTACTCTAAAAGGACTTAATGGGACACGCATTCGTTTGGGAGTAAGAGCTAGGAAAGTGAGGAAAATGAGTGGTGCGGCAGGGGGACGGAGCGATATTACCTCACTTTCCTAGCTCTTACTCCTAAACGAATGCGTGTCCCATTAAGTCCTTTTAGAGTAACAAAGTAGAGACCTGGAGCTACATTTTGAGCTATATTAAAAGAAAATTGAGACTGGCCTATTAGGCGCGCCACCATTTTGAAGACTTCAAAACTGATAAACATCGTCTTAAACCGGTCTGATCGAAGAAAGAGTATTCTTACGTGAAAGAGCGTTCAATTTTCTATAAGGTAACTTCTACATTTCATTTTCAAACTTGTCTCTCATGCCCACTAATGACAAGCGAAAAGAGCGCTGAGACGAGAAAGCCCAAAAATTGGGTGGCCCACTTGGCATGGAATGCCCCATATGCAACAAAAGAATATACACTTTATGTATGTTTACTATGAACTGGCTTTAATAATGTATGAGTCATTTTTCATGGTAATATGTACCATTTCATTATCTTTCAATAATAAAATGTATTACGTTAAAATAGACAATTTGGTATAAGAATTCTTTTAAAATTAATATTGATAAATTGAATAAAGGCCAAATGACGGTCAAGCAAGATTTAGGTTGCTACAATAATGTGTGAATTTATATACTACGTATGTAGTCTTCTTTAATCGCGCGCCGAAATATTTTCAGTCTTTTACAAACGCAACTCTAATAACTACCGTAGTAATATCACTAGTTAAATTGACAAGCAATTTAACGATATTTGATGCTTATAACATCTTATTAGATCTTAATAATATATTGAAAGACATATATTAAAATTTAATATTAAACTAATGATAATTTAAAATCTGTGAAAAATAAGATTGCGAAGAATATCACAAGTTGGCGTTTCGTCCCGGCTTCCACTACTGGACTCATCAGTAAGGTAATGTAGTGGGAGCCTACCTTAGACGCCAGGGAGAGATATTAGAAAGATGTTCTATATAAACAGATAATTATGTATCTTAGCACTTGCGAGAGAAGCAAGCGTAACTATAGAGGCTCTGTAGGCTAATTGACGAAGTGATATTCTTCACAATGCTCCCGTTTTTAAGTAATTAACAACGTATTTTGCAGGCACGTTGATTTTAAAAATTACAATATTTGTAGGACCGTTAGTGTTTCGAACAATAAATTGAATAAAGGCCAAATGACGGTCAAGCAAGATTTAGGTTACTACAATAATGTGTGAATTTATATACCACGTATGTAGTCTTCTTTAATCGCGCGCCGAAATATTTTCAGTCTTTTACAAACGCAACTCTAAATAACTACCGTAGTAATATCACTAGTTAAATTGACAAGCAATTTAACGATATTTGATGCTTATAGCATCTTATTAGATCTTAATAATATGTTGAAAGACATATATTAAAATTTAATATTAAACTAATGATAATTTCAACATATTATTAAGATCTAATAAGATGCTATAAGCATCAAATATCATTAAATTGCTTGTCAATTTAACTAGTGATATTACTACGGTAGTTATTTAGAGTTGCGTTTGTAAAAGACTGAAAATATTTCGGCGCGCGATTAAAGAAGACTACATACGTGGTATATAAATTCACACATTATTGTAGCAACCTAAATCTTGCTTGACCGTCATTTGGCCTTTATTCAATTTATTGTTTGAAACACTAACGGTCCTACAAATATTGTAATTATTAATATTGATCTTTTTTGTGATTTATTTTTAAAATATAAAAAATTGTTATAACTTAATCTGTCACCTAGAACATTATATTTGATTCAAGATTTTGGAGTGTAAGTTAACTAGTTTTCAATCACGTATATCTTCATAAATATACGTTTACAAATTATTATTCTAAATAATAATTAATATCGTGAAGAAGGATTGTTCTGATAATCAATTTCGTAATAACATTGTACCAATAAAATCTATTACATATAATCAAATACGCTAA